CCCCAAAACCCCAAAACCCCAAAACCCCACGGGTTTAAAATTATAATTATAGGGGGTTGGATAAATATTAATTTAAATTTCTAATATGAATAAATAATGCATCAGAGAAATATTTGATGACATCTCTTTCAGTGTTATTAGTTTCCTTGAAAATCATATTGGAGTCACAGATGTTGAGTTTATTGAGAGATAAGGAGTTGCTGAAATGTCTATTTAGAAATGGGAAGAAGAAAATTCACCTTACCTTTTGCCTGACGACTACAAAGCTTTTTTGCAAATATCAGATGGTCTCAGTCTTAACTGGAAGATTAAGAAAAACGATCAAATATTCCCACTGGGATCAATGCATCTAAACAAATTAAGAGACATAAAGAGATTGAAAATGGATAGGTTTAAATTTTCAAGCGTTGGAGAGGAGGAGGAAACATCCGATGAAGAACCATCAGAGGAATAAAAAGACATTGCTGCATTTGACATTGATTCTAAAGTTAAAGATGGTAGACTTGCTTTGATTTATAGAGGTAATACAAACAAGCCACAGATTTGGTTTTAGGATCTAAGTTGTTCATGGTTTTTCATCGCATATAAGTTTACCGATTACTTCAGACTAATGATCATGCATTTGGGTCTACCTCATTGGCAATATGCTTTTACCTAAGTTGGTTTGGATCCATAAGCATTATAATGGCTAAGATTTTTATCTCCCGAAAGATTAGCTATTGACATCGAAAATAGAAAAAATCAAGAAAATTTAGCAAAGAAAAAGCATAATAAGGGTGCTGGAAAGATTGGAGGATCTAGTGGAACTGAGAAAATCAAGGTTGAGGGTCTCAGAAGAAAGAAGAGAAGAATGAAGCTTAAGGCAAAGGGTGATAATGATGCTATTATAGAGAAATTCTCAGCACAAAGTAGTAAGAGTGCTAAGTATGCTAAAACTACAATCAAGAAAAGAGAAGCAAGCGAAATCAAACAGGGAGAGAAAAAGGGTGATGAGACAGGTATCACTTCAAGCATTTGAACATTGGCTTTAAAACAGGTATAATATTTAAACCTAGCTTTTATATCAATAAATCAAATGCTAATGTACCTATTTTATGTTTTATTCTAGTTCATTATTTGTTAATTAGCATTTGAATTTCGTCCTACTATTTTTGTATTCGATTAATCGTTTCGGGGTTTTGGGGTTTTGGGGTTTTGGGGTTTTGGGGAGATCGGAAGAGCACAC